TCGCCGTTTCAGTCTTGCTCTAGCAGGCTTCCGGCTTGCCCCCCCCAGGAATTGATTTCGTGAACATCGGTCGAGCACATACGGCTCTCTGCACTGCGCATCCAACGCAAACTCGAATCCCTGTCGGTGCCTGAAGATCGAAGGAAGTGAAATGTTGCAATCTGCCAACACCTCAGCTCGCACACTTCAAAACCACAGAAATGCTCTGTGTAAGCGTTCACCAGCACTAGGACCCCAACTGTAGTGCAGCCCGCCCCACACCCACATCAAGCCGTCCGCCGTGACGACTGCAGTGTGAAAGTAGCGTGGAAACCACTTCTGACCATGATATGTCCAGGCCAAAGGAGAGGCCTGTCGCAGCACTTGGCTTCAGCACGAATTCGCCATGCTAAGCTGCTAGAGGCTGAGGCTGACATAGCAGTATGCCTAATTTGTGCCTGCCCTCCTGCACTTGAACTAACTTAACTCCACTATATTTGCTCTGCTCTCATCTCGGTCCATGCACTCACCTAGTGAAGCTCACAACGGTGGACTAGTACAGTATGCCGTTTCCACCAAGGCCTGCAAGTCGATGGAGTATAACCTGTTGCTGTAACCCGAGTAATCGCCTGAGCAGAGGACTCGCCCGAGACTTGCTGCTAGCACTTTGAAACCTGTACTGGGGCAGCGGCCATCGCCCAAGCCGCCGTAAAGCCACAACACCCCATTCAAGAGGACTGTGCTGTGGCCGAAGTAGTTGCCAGCGCTGGACACAGAGGCCTCCGTCCAGACTAAGGAGGTGGCCTGGCATTGCTGCATCGACTCGGGCAAAGGACTCTTAAGCACTTGCAGTCGCAGGATTATAATGAAAGATAATGGAAGCAAAGTTGTTCCTCACTCAGACCGTCTCCAAAAGAGCCTCGAGGTCGATGGACCATAGATCGCCAACTGTGCCTGGGCACGTCAGCGCTGCAGGGTCACGCCCCCGGACAAGATTCTTTTGGCGGGCTCTCTTGATGAACGCGTCATGACGCGTCAGTTGCTGCGTCCGTGAGCATTGCTCACATGGGGCTTGTCCAATATTCTTTCATCTCGAATCGAGGGCTTGCGCCGCGCTTGCGCGGAGCTTGCGCGAGCTTGCTTGCGCGCGCAGTTTGGCTCAAAATGGTTT